ATTCATGAAAATTTGGATGGAAGGGGGGACAAATAACGTTTTTTGGGTGAAATGTCGCTTTAGGAGATGGTATGGTTCTGATATGGACCGTCGAACACATCCAGTCATGCATCAGCTCAGATGGTCTGACTGGAACTATGCCATGTTTTTGACGTGTGTAATGGTGAACTCTGTGTATCAGTGTTGTGCATTTGTATTGGCCGGCACAAGTGACGTGAGCTGTGTGGAAAAGTCCATTTAAAATAGCATTAATGAAGTAACCAGGTGATCCGCGGTCAAAAACACACTCTCATCGTCTCTCTCACTCAGTCATTTAGTGGTCAGTGCTAACTCTCTCTCTTTGTCTGCTCTTTCACACTCTCACCCTCTTTCTCGTTCAGTGTGTGTGTGAGCAAGTGTCACCATATGACAGCCTGTCTCTGCCTAATTCAAACCACCTGCCTTAAACAGAGTACTTCTGTGCTCCATACAAAAAAAGACTGTGTCTGTGTGTGTTGTGGTGGGTAGAGGGGAGTATTTAAACTTTCAGCAGCTCCAAAAATAAAAATAGGCTTTTAAAAACAGGCAAACCCTTCTAAACCAATGACTCCTGGAGCTATAGAGTCAGTTCCAGGCTATGTATGTGTGTGTGTCCTTCCCGGTGGATAGTTATGAATAGTTGTATTATTACAGGGCAAGATCTACCTGAAAGACTCGTACAGTTCTTATGTGAGGAATTCTTCACATGGCATAAAGCGAGCTGGAGTGTGTGGGCAATTTTCTTTTTTGTGTTGCAATCGTAAATGCATGTTTGGTTGAATTGGATTCAGTGTTGCAGAGAGAACTGCAGGTTTGTTTATTGCAGAGTAACAAACTTAAAACAAATGTAAATAGCCAAAAGGTTACGTCTTGTATAAGAGGAATTTGTGTTTTTTTTTTGTTTTTTTTAAGAAAGATGCATTTTATTTTTTTCCTTTGAATAATAATATAACAAGTTAATAAAACAAGTCAACTTTTTATTAAATGTTTTGTTTAATGTTTTTACTTTGGTTTTTACTTTACAATTAAAGTAAACTTTTTTGTAATACTTTTTTCTTTACTTGCTTTTAACTTTAGTTTTAAATTTTTTAGTCCCAATTATGACTATATTAAGAGTATGCATATATTTTTATAGGCTACCAGTCCGACCGGATGGCTACTTTGAAGAAGATTAAAATTATAATTGGTTTTACTACATAATTCCCATACCTCAATTAGTGCTGTATCATAGTTTTGACAATTTTCCTCTTTTTTTTTATTTTTTATTTTTGTATTTATTTATTTTTTTATTTTTTTACACTGTGGTAAAAACATTAATAATGAAGAATGTGTAGGAGTGTTCAGAATATTGACTGGTAGTGTAATTACGTAAATGTTCATAACATTTCCCCTTGGAAAATTAGCCACCCAGGTAATGTAAATTTGTTTGAAATTTGTGATTGGATGCATATGGTCATATGACCAGTGATTGCATAATATGACGTCATTTATAATTCCAAAACTTAAGATGATTTGAATATTTCAAGATACTTCATTCAAAAGTGCCTGCGGGGAAATTCACACGCCCAGATGCATAAAAACAAAAGAGCCATTGAGGCCGAGAAGAGGATGCCATCACAGTTAATCCTTTTTCTCTTTCACCTTCTTTTAAACTCACCTCTCTCTCATCCAAGTTTATGTTTGCCTGCATGGACGGATGGCAGGAGGAACACTGACACAGATTCAAAACAAATTGGCGTACATGTAATTTTTGGAAAGGTCAGAGACGCCTTGATTCACCAGAGAAGGAAACTTCCCTTGAACCTCACATTTGGCTCTACCTCTGTGACCCTTTCACCGAGCTTTAAAGTGATCATTTAAACAGATGTATGCGTGTGTTTACCGATCCATGCACAGGTCCTGGATCAGATGGTCATTTTTGTGTTTGGCCAGTGTTGAAGGGAAGTGACCTAAGCCCTGTCGCTGGACTGAACAAGCCTGTATAACCTTCTTTCTTCTGTCAAACACAAAAAAGATATTTTTCCCACATATAATAAAGGTCAGATGGGTCCAGTGTTGCTTTGGGCCTCATAGACTTTCAGAATATAGGCAAAACAGTTTAAACATTCTTCAAAATATCTTGTTTTATGTTTCACAGGTTTGAAATGACATGAGGGCGGTAACAAATATGACAAGTTTCATTTTGGGTGAACTGTCCCTTTAAGACTTAAAAATATATTTTTTAAATAAGTTACTTTTTTCTAGTCAGATCAAGTCACATTTATTTATAAAGCAATTAATATTATTGACCTAATTTATTAAGATCAATCAGATCAATTTTTGTTTCAATTATAGTATAAGTAAACACTGGAAATATTTAAATTGTGTAAATTGTTCCTTTAAAATGGGATTTAAAATCATCAGTAGAAGGAGAGGATCTAATATGGGGCAGCACGCTATGAGGCGTGGGCCGCAACAGAGAGGCACGATCATCTTGGAACCGGCAAAAACAAGTTATTTGAAGACCTTAGAGGCCTAGGAGTATGATATTGTGGGACAAAAGCACATACGAGTTACCGAACCATGTACACAAATGATGAAAGCATCTTCTTTCTTTTTCTTTTTTTATACACAAAGTTTGCACATTTGCGGCTGAAACGGCCAGAGAGCCTCAGAGCGTCCAGACCCCTCCTATAATGCCAGAAGAGAGTGTGTGTGAACAGGAAGGAAGGGGAAGGGAGTTGTGCTGCAGGCCTCTCAGCTGTCTCTCACAGCGCTAATGATCCTTGGAGAGAGGTGTGAGGGAGGAATGGAGAGAAAAGGACAGAGAGCAAGGGATGTTAAGACAGATACAGTATGAGCCGGGTTTCAGTTCAGAATATTTTTCCTGTTGGATACATTTACAGTGGCGTTAAACCACCTCACATTTCACAAAATTCCATGCTGACAAATCCAGAAAGTTGCTGAATAATAATGGCTTTCAGGAATGAATCAGTTAAAGTGCTTCACTTTGCCATCAGTGTGAGAAAGAGAGAAACAAAAGAGTGAAAAATCCAAGAATGCTGTTTGCGGTGACTAAAATAAGAACAGAGAATGTTGTAGACCATTTCCTCCCTTCACTTGACCTTTATGTCTGTCCCTCTTGTTTTCTCTTCAGTCTTTCTCTCTCACACATAGACACACTGTTACCTCTGTTACATGTAGGTTTCATCATTTAGAAGCTGTATTGGTGAAGACAGAAAGCTTTGTCTTGACCTTTGACCTTACTTGGTGTCATCATGGTCATTATTACATATTTTATGTGTGTATACTCCGGAATTAGCACTCACAGCACCAACTGACAGTAAAATCTTTGTATTACTCGCCAATAAGCTGTACTTTTATTAAGAATTGAAACATTTTTATTAGGAATTGCAACATTACATGTTTTATGTCAAACTGTAAGAAGCTTGATGTCAGTGACACGCGTCTTCTAAAGAAAACATCTGTCGCGACTAACAACTTGTACCTCAGGGGAAAATGTACTGTCAGACATTCATCTTCTCCAGAACCCTGTGACAACACATACGCGAATATTCCTCAACAAAAATATGAGGAACAGCATTGCAGTTTGTTGTCTTCATGTTTTTGTGACACATACCAAAGCTGTGAATGACACAGTGACTTGAGCTATTTGTCACAAGTATGTTTAATAAATCAGTTGTCATTGGGACAAAATATACATTCTTAATTTTAAAAAAAATTGCAAAGACAGAAGAAAAAAAATCTGCTTGCACAGACTTCAATATTTAATAAAACCGCAACATTTCTACATTAGGCATTTTTACTTGTCTGCAACCATTCAGGTGTGTCAGGGGTGTTTATGTATTGCACTTAATAAAATAATGCGAAATAACAGTTTATTGGTCAGTGAAAAATGCATATTTATAGCTAATAAATGTTCTCACTTATGCCAAAAAATTTATTTTGGATCTCTGCATGTGTGTGTTGAGGGAATTTCTACATTTCAGACTAGACTAAATCAAACAGAGCAGCTCTGAACACGATCTTTATCCTTCACAGTGTGTGTTTAGTGGTTTGTGATGTAGAACAGTCATTTTTAATTAACCTACAGATGTTTAAAATACAGTTTGATTGCTTCGACTTTGTGCTGTGCTAAAATCCAAAGCTGTATCCATCAAAATGCTGTGTGAGTTCCCTCAGTGTTTCATTTTATGGTTTTCTCTTTCTGTCTGTCTGTCTGTTATCTCATTTGAGAGGTTTTTTTAAGTGAGTGCAGCAGGAGTGAAATATGAATGAGTTGGGCGGCCAAGTGCGGCGCTCCCACTGCAGCGTATAAAACGTGCTGATGGGGTCTTTATCCCTCCATCAAGCTGAGGGGAAGAAAAGAGCACAGTCCTGTCAAGGGAACGGGGCAATTCTCCGGCCAACTGGCTAAAAGCTAAAGCCCTGGAGTCCGAAAATGTGTATGAGAGATAGAAAGAGGGAGCTAAAGCCAGAGAAAAAAGACAAAAGACTATCACCCATTGACCTCTTGGCAAGCATTCTTGATTTAAGTATCTCACCATTTATTTCTCCAAAAGCACTCTCTCTTTCATCTAGATCACTATGTAGATGTAGTCTGTGCTTTTGTGTTGTCGTGTAGTGGTTGTATGGACTTGGGAACTCTGTGCTTTATTCCCACAGTTGGCATCCCATGAGGCCTAGTGTTGACGTCAGGATGGGGACGGCCATGTGTGTTTGTGTGTTGGGGTGTGTGTATCGTAACCACATAAAAGCATATCCTACTGGGAGCAGATGTGTCTGCGTTGAATCTGTGTCGTGTGTATGCGGGGGAGTCTTGATACTTGATCACAAATGTGAACCTGAGAAAATAAAGCTGTTTTGATACTGTTATATGAAGTCATCATATTGATATGATATCATCAATCACATATGCGTCATCTGAAATGGAACGTACTTCATAATAATGATATCGAGCTTGTTGTTTCTGTTTGTTTTAGGCGATGTGGCTGATGTTGCAGCAGGAGGAGCCTATCGATTTTGTCATTGCGACGGGGGAAGTGCACAGCGTACGGGAGTTCGTGGAGAAGGCCTTCAAACACGTGGGCAAAACCATTGTGTGAGAGCACACGCGCACACACACATCTACCTCAGATTAAGCCCATTTGGTTAATCTGGCACATCTGGCGTTGATTCGTCGACAGGCTGTACAAGACCACAAAACAACATGCAAACACACCATAAATATTGTAAATATGTAACGCATATGCTGACAGCTGAATTTAAAAACAAATAAAATGAAGGCATGGGTTCAAAGATCAAGTTCTCGCACTTAGGTGGGAGGGGAAGAATGAGGAGGAGGTGGGCCGATGTCAGGAGACGGGAGAGATTCATGTGAAGGTGGATCCGAAGTACTATCGGCCAACTGAAGTGGTAAGGCACTGCAAATATCTTCCCATGTATTAAAAGATCAGAACATCCAAGGTGCCCTTAGGAGGTGAGACATTACAAAATATCATGCATAGACTACTGTACAATAAGTGTTGACATCTCCTAGTTATGTGGTGAGAATGTTTTATTTGTTTATTTTATTACATCATTAGACAGCTGTTTGTTTCAATATTGTTCATTGTGATTTATAATCCATTAAATCAGCAGCATTCAAATCTCTAGAGAGGATTTGAGGGCGTTCACATAGGACACGTTCTTTCTTTAAAAAAAACAGCTAGCCATTGCATAACTCAATGGAAGGGGTCTTGAGACTTTTTGAAATAACTTGTTTTTAACTTGGCGGAACATCTTAAAAATGTGTCGCTTGACATACAACAATTCCCCAAATAAGCCAGACCCAATGTGTTGGCCAATTATGCTGTGTTGTTTATTTACACTGCCATTAAAAAGTTTGGGGTCAGTAAAAATAATACTTTCATTCAGCAAGGATGCTTAAAATTGTGAAAAACTGCATCATAGTTTCCCCAAATATATTAAGCAGCGAATCACCATTGATAATAATTAGAAATGTTACTTGAGCACCACATCAGCAATGTTTTCTGAAGGATCATGTGACACTGAAGACTAGAATAGATTACATTTCAAAATGTATTCAAATAGATAAGAGTTAATTTAAATTGTAATAATATTTCACATAATTACTGTTTAAACTGTTTTTGATCAAATAAATGCAATCTTGGTAAGCATAAGAGACAAAACATCTTAATGATCGCAAACTTTTAGACAGCAGTGTATGTGCGTAGTTCAACAATTAAAAAGAAATATATATTTTTCTATGAAGTACTCAAGTAGACAAGATGAATAAAATGTCCGTCCTTACCTGACATGTAGATGTCAGATTGTGTGTGTGTGTGTGTGTGGTGGGTGGTCATTCAGGAATGAGAAAGGGCACTAAATCTGTAAAGAAAACATGCACATGAAATGATTGTTGACAGATCAGAGGTTTTCTCCAAGACACGTTTACTGCGTATGGGTCAGAGGGGTGTTTCCAAGGACCTTTTTCAGTTAGAAGAAAAAATAACAAAGGTAAGACAGAAAGAAAAAGAAGTGCAGAAGAACCAGTGCAGAAAGACAGAAATCTGTTATTTGGGTATAAAGCTATTAAAGGGGTCATAGGATGCCCATTTTCCACAGGTTGATATGATTAATTTAGGGTCTTAATGAAAAGTCTGTAACATAGTTTGCTTAAAATTTCTCAATGGTAGTGTAAAAAACACCTTTTTTACCCTGTCAAAAACAATTATTTTCAGAGCACGCAGTTTTGTAGCATTTTCCTTTAAATGGTAATGAGCTCTGCTGACCCCGCCCCTCTCTTCCGAGCTGCTCTCTGAGGGACTGTTTACTTTAGCCGCATTCATCGTGAAACTTGCTAATTAGCACATTATTAGGAAAGGCGATTTGCAAAGATTCATTAAAAAAACCTTACACTCACTTCTTCTGTAGATGAAGCTGGATCACGAATGATTTGCGCGAACATAAACACATTTAGGTAGATCGGGGGCGCATTCTCTTCAAAAACAAACGTAATCCACTGCGTCTTCAGCGGCTCAGATGTTGGGAGTAAATGACGACTGCTATGTTCATTATTTCATCCAACAACAAAACACCTCAATCGCTTAGGAGTCATTCTTGTCTACATCTGCTCCGGCGGTGAAACAATGGCGGACTGATGACAGCTCACTCAGGGCGCTACTGTCAATCAAACTATCATGGGAGGGGCCAGTTTTTGTGACGTCACACAGACAGGCATCTGAGATCAGCTCGATTTGAGAAAGGGGAAAAGATTTGAGCAGATTAAAAAAAAAAACACTTTGTGGATTTTTATCATTTTAGGGTGGTTGTGTACACACTGCCAACACACATTTCAGTTCAAACAACTTGTAAAAGTGCATGTAGCATCATATGACCCCTTTAAATATTTTTGGTGTCATGTTTTTGATGACCTCCCAATGCTGTTACATAATATCAGCCCAGGATACTTAAAGACACTCTAAAAGGCATAAACCGAACAGGCCATCCATCAACACAGACGCAAAATGGGAATTTGACCTTTAACCTCTGTGATAGAAAGTAAATCACTGCATTTCCTCAGGAGGCAGGAGTGTCAGTACGGGACGCACTTACAAGGATGAATGAGAGCGAGTGTGTGTATTTGCGATAGATTTACTAATGCGTTGTCCACAGGCTACATGTGAACATGTTTGAAAATCTGTTGGATGAAGGCTATAAGTAAATAACTTTTTCTGGCAGAAACAGAATAGAAAAAGGATCTTACTTCAATTTCAAATGCGTAATTATGTTTGCCAGCACACACACACACACTAACTGTTTATCCAAAGAGACCATCGTCAATCGTCACATGAACTGCTGTGTTTTTGAGCCATCCTAATCTATTTTCGTTCGTGCTACACCTGCATGATTTATGAAAGCATAATTACTGACAGATAAAAATCTTCTGGCTGAAAGATCCCACGTTAACGCTAAAAATAACTGTCACACCCAAAACTGCTGTTAGATGAATGGCTCTATGCATTATTATCATTCCCAAAATCAACATGTGAAGCCTCTGAGTGATGGCTATCATGCCAGACGTAACTTGTGGTTTGATGTGCGTAAATTGCGAGCGAATGATGAAACTCAATTCGCCCCTCTTTATTTGCATAACCTTTAGAGATCTCATAACAAGCGTATGCGTGTGCGTAGGGGAGGATTTCATCCGTGGCTTTGCTGCAAATACAACCTGTATCTCGCTTTCACTGGATGTGTTCTTTCAGTCGACACACACTCGCTCACATTCCTTCAGGAGGAATGCGTAGCTTTAGCTTCACAATGAGAAAAGCAGGTAATGCGCTTGGCCTTGTCTGTCCATCACACACCATCTACTCACAGACAAAGAAACCGCGTGTGCGCGTTGAAATAATATGCTAACTTCCTTTTAAGGCCTGAAATACCCCGATTTAAATTAAGCTTGAAATATTAGAGCGAATTTCAGTAACTTTTTTTATGATCTCCAGCAGGAGAGCCATTCTTTTATTTCTCTCTCGCTTACTTTTATTCCGACACACACTCGCTCACATTCCTTCAGGAGGTATGCGTAGCTTTAGCTTCACAATGAGAAAAGCAGGTAATGCGCTTGGCCTTGTCTGTCCATCACACACCATCTACTCACAGACAAAGAAACCGCGTGTGCGCGTTGAAATAATATGCTAACTTCCTTTTAAGGCCTGAAATACCCCGATTTAAATTAAGCTTGAAATATTAGAGCGAATTTCAGTAACTTTTTTTATGATCTCCAGCAGGAGAGCCATTCTTTTATTTCTCTCTCGCTTACTTTTATTCTCTCATTTGCACTTACACAAGGACACAGCGAATTGGGTGCAATAATGAACACATCAAAACCGAGCGCTCTGTCTTTTAGCTGATTGAGGGGGTTTTTAATAGCGAAGGCTCGAGCTGATGAATGTGGCCCCCAGACGGCCGCTGTGTGAACCCTGTGGTCCTTGCTCTGCCTTTCAGCGAATATGATTTTGCACATCCATTTCATTCTTTCGGATGCTGATTTAAACAATTTTTATGAGGCACTTTGGGGAAGAAGGACCAAAGTTAGCCAAAGGCTTTTTTCTTCTTCTTCTTTTTCACTTTTTATTTTCCAGACAGTCCCCAGGAAACCCTCATGGTTTTTTTCTTTTCGTTTTTCTTTTTGAAAGAGAGAGAGAAAGGAGCACGAGAGAGGGCATAATGAAAGCAAAAAGCTTTGATTTATGCAACGAATTCCACAAACAGCAAGTTTGCAGCAGTCGCTTGGTTTAGTAACTCGGGCCTTTTATGAATGTCTTGCCCTGCTGAACTTGTGTGCACATCTCAAAGTTGTTTTTGGTAAACTGGGCTGTGGTTATTTTGTTATGTGGTGTAATTTCAGCTAACTAAATTATTTGTAATTGCCTTTTTACAAGATTTGAGGGTCTTATGTGGCAAAGATTATTGAAAATAAGTAGCGAAATGTATAGGAATGCTTTCAGGATGTGTCTGCCAGGAATATAAATGTAATGTACAGTAAGTAAATGTAAGTGTGAGCATGCATGCTGATGATAGACAAAACACACAAACTGCACTGGCTGCAGTTCACCATGTGTGTATTTCATCAAATCAACTCACAGACTTGGCGACCCTGAGGAATTGCCACAACATAATGATGGAGTTTTGTGGATTATCAGAGATTAGGACTATATGGTACATATGTCAACATGATTCCTCCAGCAACTCTCGACAAATTACAAACGTCATTCTTACAGATTTAAATTTGAGACAGTTGTTCTTTCGTGGAATATTGTGTATTTTTAGAGTAGTAAATGCACATTGTCTTGATATTTATTGTCCCTTAAAATGCACATCAGCATCTTCACTGTCAATTAATTAATTTTTTTAAGTACTTTATTGACATAATAAAGATTATATATATATATATATATATATATGTGTGTGTGTGTGTGTGTGTGTGTGTGTGTGTGTACATATATGTAT